ATAGTTTATTGAAAAACACATCATTCTACTCACAATGAAAATTTTGATTTGCATTGGTTAATATTAAAAAAAATTCTGATCTTCATATAGATTATTTTTTCAAAAAAAATAATTCTTGCCACATATAAAAAAAAATAATCTAAGAAATCTTGAAATTTGATCATAAACTTGATTTCATATCTGCATTTAGATCATTTATTATTATCAATTATTATTTTCTCTAAGTTAAATGTATTGTAGCTACAAATAAAAAATGTCAAAAAATAGTGTGTCATGTTATAATTCAAAATATTAATCAATAATTAATTAAAAATATTCAAATGAGCAATATCCTGTCATCACAATAAAATAAGAAAGTTTATAATATTGATCATGGTAATATAAGTAATATAATCATCCTAAAATAATATTTTAGAATATTTTTATCTACTTCGCCACCTGCTCAAAACAGATTCACAAAACAAAAGCTCTTATATATATATATATATATATATATATATATGTGTGTGTGTGTGTGTCTAGATACCATAAATACTTGGAGAAAGGTTGTGACGGCCGAAGCAACAACTAAAAATAATATTGCCAAGAGTGAGCTACACTTATTAAATTTATCTTCTGCTGTATCCAAAGACTCGTTCAAGTTTCCACAAATTGAAGATACGCCAAAATATCTCTCTGATCATAATCTCTCTAAATCTATAATCATAAAATCTCCATGAAATGAAGGAAAGCGAAAGTCTTCCATTATGATGATAAAATTTGAGATACGCCAGAGCTTACCACTACGATTATAAAATTGGAGAAATAAACTGCTGCGAAGAATTACTCATTCAAGTTTCCGCAAAGTGGACATATGCCAAAGGTTGCCGATGTGAAGACTGAGACCACCGTTACGTCTCCATGAAATCACAAAGTCGCAATCTGACTTCCATCCATCCGCCATCAGTCAATCGAGTCACAAGTTGATTTACAAAACAAAAAAGTAAAACTTTGTGATCGCTCGCGAATACTAGGGATCCAAAAACTCTATGTCAAAATTAGATCCCGATTTTGTGTTCTTTGGTGTAATAGAATCAAGTGAGTGAAGGACTATTAGCATAGATGATATGACGAGAGATGAAGAGAAGGTTTATGAATCGAGGACAATGCTGTGAAATCAATTATTAAGAATATCTCATGCAAGACTCGCAAATCTCATTTTATGAGTTGGATCTGGTCTTGGAGCAATCTTGAATGATTTGGCTTTTTGATGTGGTTGCATCAGATTTTTATAGCATGCGTCTCTCACGCCAGTTCCAGTAAACAATGTACGTCCATATGTATAAGGATCCGTGGGTGTGACCTCTGAGCTCATCTCTCCCGTCATCTATACTTACCGGTAGAGTTGGAGGCACAAACCTCAAAGGCATGCCCTGGGCAGGGGGCATGCCTTATTCACATTCTTCTATACAAGGCAAGCCTGTATGTACTAACAAATATATACATATCTCCAGAACTTTTCAACAGTTTTTCTTGTAAGAGTGCTTTACTTCCACAGAAGTACATTTTCTGATACGTTAAATGTACGTATTTTTATACGTGCAAGCTGGGGGCATGCCTTTTGACGTTGAAAGTGCGCATGGGCATGCCTGGAAGAATTTTGTTGTGCCTCCAACACTACTTACTGGCCACCTACGATCCAAGTGGTTTGGACATCTGTGGGTGTTTACCATCCACAACTGACGGTACGTTAAGCCGTTAACCCCTTTCTTGATCGTTGGCCTGTAAAACGATGATTCCATCTCCCGTCGCAGCCTTCTGGACTCTTTTCTTATCGCCCAAAATATCCTCAATTAAGTGAAGGCATGTGTGCATCATGCGCGAGAAATGTCAAGAATATGGCTGGCTTTCGAGATATCTTCAGACTGTCACTACCGAGAGTCCCGTGGATCGTGCGAGAAAACTTCTGGACAATCATTCGAGGTTTGCTAATGGTTCTGAACTTATCCGTTGACCACTGCATGTGATGACAATCGTCGTCGAATCATATATCTCGTCGAATCCTCATCGTTTCTTATCGTCCCAAACATATATTACTAAAGATGAAATGGACAGTTTTGTTCTGCTGTTCAGAGTTAGTTCCCCTGCAAGAAAGATCCAGGTAGCATTTTGTAAAACGAATCACGACTATTTTATCCTTTGACAGAACGAACTGAAAGGTATGCAGGATACCAGCTGATTCATACGATGTATTTTCTTTCCAATAATGAGCATGCAAAGGTCTTATACAAATAACAGGACGAATTCTTGCCATCCCTCGCCTATGAAAAGTGACAATGTATCCTTCAAATCTTCTTCAGAATTTGTGCTCCAGACCGTGACGAGCGGGAACTAAAATGTTTCTTCAAGTATGGTTCCCTCAGTTTCAGAAATGTAATTTATTAGGTCATGATCATTCTCATTCAATCATCTGAGCCTATGATTGGTTTAAACACTTGTTTCCAATAATATATGCCTATAATTTTTTCTTTATGAATTCTTTTCTTAATCTTCTTAATTGATGTATATATACATACCAATATGGTCTACATATCAATATGAAAAACTTTACAAATTAAAGAACTTTCTGTATAAAAAACCTAAACTGGAGCAATTCCAGAATTATCTGTTAGCTGAAAATATGCGCACGCACACAGATTTATAATTATGAAGCTAATGATTTTTGAACAAGAATACATGGATGCAATTTTGGCTCAAATATGAAATTTACAAAATAAATTATAATCATTGTTTGCGCAATCTTTCTTCCCTTCATGAGATTATGTTACCTTGGAGAAGTCAATGCGTAACCTGAGCATATATTCCATTTTCTGCCTAATTGAAAACTAACTCCTATAAGACTGAATGATATTATTTAGCCCTGGATCACTTGGGGCAAAACTTTAATTTTTTTACTTTTTTCGTTCTTTTAACAGCAATAAAACTGACTTAATCTGTACAAATATAATCTCATTGTACTTGTGATTTTACAAAAAAAATTCGAAGAAAAAGTAATTATTGGACTAGTATATTTATGTTGCGACCTTCTGAAGCACCAATTTAGGCTTCAGCCGGGCAAGGACATCGTCCATGTCAGGTGGGAGGATTTCTCCCATGATATACTTAAAATTTAGACCTCCTCTCTTCCTCGTCTTAAGATGAATTCATTGGACTGCAGAAAGCAAGAAAATAGTCATGTAATAACATCTAATAATTATAAAAGTGGAAAATAACTAATAAAAAAATGAAATAAATTTCTTACATTGAAGCTTTTGCAAGTTGATGAAGATTTTTCCAACTGCTTTCTTTTACATCAGAGAGATGAATCAGTTGATTGAACTGCATTTTTAGAAAGAAACCATCATTTAAAAATTTATAAGATATCACAGCGTTCTTCTCAATAGATTTTAGACAAGTGTGGTATTTTTTCTCAGCAGAAGAATCTTTGATGATTCGCAAATTTTACATTTTCGAGAGCGGTCTCCAGCATTGCAAATTTTGTTCGCCGTTCGCTGTCGACTTATTCTTTCTACCATCTCGTTTTTTCATTTCTTTCATTTGTCCCCAACGATAAGTTTGCGTTTCTTCGACTTTTTTTTTTCCGTGTACATTTTCCGTCTTAAAAATAGAAACTATGAAGTACCCGAAGGCGTAGCGCATGTATCGTCGCATGGTGTCTCTCCCCTACGGCCCCGGAGAGACCCTTCAAGCTACTGCAGTCTGGAAGCGCTTGTGCCAACAATTGGCGTGTGTGCATCGGGACCACGATGGGGCACATCTCCTGTCCCTGTACCTTCTCATACGTGGACCCCAGTCCCAAGGACCAACGGGAGACGAGTTTGACCAGCGTCAGGTCCTGGCTCCTCCGTGTGAGTGACCGTCTTACACTGCCCCCTGGACAGAGTCCTGTCAACGGCCCGGCGCCTGGCCCGGTGCGCATTCCACTTCACGATGGTTTTATCCATCTCGTTGTTTATGTTCTTGTAAAAAATAAGAGTTCTTGTATGATATTAAATATTTGCTCTTTCTGGTACCTTCCACCGAGGGTCCGTCGAAACTTCTGCGCTACCCGCCCGTGCGACCCCTCGGCTCCTGCAAGATGCCTCCGTCATTTCGTTCCATTTGACCATGACTCTCATGAGACATTTGTCGATCACCGTTACGCCTGACCTGAGCCGAAAGTCCCGGCGGAGGTGACGGAAGTAGTACGTACTAACAAGAAGTTACGCCGCGACAAGTCAGCTCGCTGGAAGGATCTGGAGTTTCTCGTGCGCCAGATGTCAACGGCGCCAGGGATTCCCCCTGAAGGATGAAGGATCCGTGGGTTCGCCGAGTATGGGCTACTGGAAGTGATGGTACGTTGACTCGGCAGAACGGGAGGTAAAAGCGAGGGGCTTTTACGCCGGTTATTGAAAGCATAGGAAGTGCCTACACATGTAGAAGCTCTTGCACACAATGCAAATCTGGGCACCTGTGGTCGGCTTCTACTTGTATTTTTTGGTTTGAAGAGTGAGATTCCAAGTCAGATTCGAGTTAGAGGCCGATAGAATGTGAACGATTACTTGCCTCAGAATCCGAGTGGGTCCTTTGCATGCTAATGTATCAGCCCATTCCGCAGTACTTGCACAAACCACGCAAGGCTCTTTAGATGAATGCAGAGTTGCGCAAGGAGAGTCGTGAATTTGAAGCATCACCAACGTAGTTTGCGTGTTGCAAAGAGATGCAATTCACGTGTAGATGGACCCAGATACTTGCAAGCATCCAGGCTTAAGAATGACTCAGCACATTCATCACATTTTGAGCAGCAGCAGTTTCTACATCACAAGAAGTCGGCCAGAGCAGGCTCGAGAGAGACCATTGAGAAGCTTGGTCAACGATCTCCTCTTTCTTCCCCTAAAATCATCCACTGTCCTAGCAGACTGTCTGTGAGGGGTTTGTGAATATATTTCATATCATGTATACGTATTGAGCGGTGTGTCACATGCTTCCACACACCTATGATACGAGCCATTCACTTATTACTGCTTGATACACGAAAGCCGTGTCTGTTTCCAATCAAGCTCAAATTGTTCATGGGAATCATACATGCCCGCACATCCTTCGCGCGCACATCTCTCACGTCCTAATGTTATGAAATACGAGAAACCCACATGTTTCTTCTACAGTGCATATTCGAACCATGAATCCTTCGATCTATCTCAATGTCAACCTCATCACCACTTTATGTACCCTCAAAATTTAGACCCCAGAGAGTTCCTTTCTTATTAGAAACAGGGGGGCTTGCAATAACAGGTATAATAGCAATTAGAAATCCATTTTCGAATTCCGTCATAGGTGAACTATACAAGCATGTACACGAGTCATGCACAGTGATAATGTGAACCAAAGCTAAACCTGGATACGTCATCACCATCAGATGACCTTTTCTCATCCCACATGTCGCCTAGATGTTTCGCGTTCCTTTTATACAGATATACCATAAGGCAGATGACCTAGGCTCCCTGCAGAGTTATTACAACTTTTCGCGCGCTTCCATGATCTCGGTGCTCACAGAGCCAAATTCCCTAAAATCGTCACAAACTTGGTTAAGTAAGAGGCCGGATGAGAAAAAAAAAATTGCATGACAGAAAGAAAATCATAAGGGAGGGAGTGGGCCGTCAGTACCTGCCATGTGCCGAGGTTTAAGCGCCCATCTGTGATTGGAACCCTGCGTTTTTTGGCAAAAGAGATCGATGTGAACAACGTAAACTTATCTTGAAAACCCTGACGGAACGTTAAAAAAGTCTACCAGCTCATCGCAATATAAACAGTTACATTTGACACCAAGCGGCAAATGATCTTAGGCCCATAATGACAGAAAAAATTCGACCTGACGGCTGGTACGCATCACAAGCAGATCAGTAAACCTCTATCTGATTCCCATCGTAAGATCATGAATTTGTACTCCTTCAATTGAGTGCCGTTGAAAGAGGCTACAGTAAATCCAGAGTGTGCAGATAGAGACAGAAGCTCAGAATCTTACGTAACAGAGCAACCGAACATCGAGGACTTGATATGGGCAGGCATATCATCAGGCCCTGCAAAAGAACATAAGACTCCACAATTAACAACCATTATACACATTTTTTCCTTCAAACTTCATATTCAGACATAGGAAGCCCACCAGGAAGGCCAACACATCTAAGCTGTTAATCCTCTGAGAACCCATATCAGGCAGTCCAGAGTGAAACATTAGAAGCCAGACATTTCATTTTAAAGAAGTACAGTTTCGGGAGCATTACCTTCTAGGACATGTTTCCAACGAGCTTTTCTTCCCTGAAATGGATAGGAAGCATTAAATCAGCTCGTTGCTCAGTATGCTCTGGAATATCTACAGAGTGCAAGAATGAAATATGAAACTGTTTTATCTGAAGACTCAACAGTCAATGCTCACCAATTTGAACGTACCTCGGGGACCGTATCATTAAGAAAAGTCTCAACATCATCCAGGACATCGCTGTCATAGTTCTCGTTGATAGTCAAGGAAGCACTGGTATGCTGCACTGCAGAGAGAGATCATTCGCACTGTTTTAGAATAGAGTCGAATCGGAAATCATTAAAGCTGGAGTCGATAACGGATATGACCAAAGACGTGACTAGAAAAGCTTGAAGCTATTGATCGAAGGTAACCTGATCCAACTTACGGAATAAATGAGCAAGTCCACATTTGAATGTTGCAAGATCTGATTGAATTTCCTTCATAACCTACAAAACCATATCCCAAGAGATGGTGAGCTTAGAAACAGTTGAAACCGAACGATTGTTAAAGAAACATTTGTTCAGTTCAGACTTTATATAATGCGATTATTCTTTAAGCCTACTCCCTGTCAGTTCAAAAAAGTTCTGGATTATTATCAATGAACTAGGATGCAAGGGGAACTCGAAACCTTCGGAAGGAATCTTCAATCAAACTTTTCTTGGAAGCAAGAGGAAAGTCATGTTTCACTACACCAAGTGCTATAGTATCCCAAATCGGCAGAGAAAAGTAGGGCTGCGTTCAAGTGATGCTCCAACTTCTGGTCGGAGAATCCTATATTTCTTCCATACAGGCACACTATTCCAGTTACTGATCTAAGCACTAACCACACTGCCAACTGCACACACCCAATGCCAAGATAAACACTAAAACAGAGTCTCCACTTATTACATCGGGCAAGCCAAAGATCCTCGGAATTGAACAAGGATAGAAACTACAACTGCATCTACAAGTTAAGACAATGTGATCCTCGGTCCAGTCTAAATACAAACGACTGCGACACACACAATTGAGAAGTTCTTCCCCACCCTAAGAACAATCTCAGCAATTCAAAATCCAACGAACAAAGTATGCTCTCGAAGTAAAGCTCGACGACCTCTCGAAATCATGCAGTTCGGCTGGTACATCAAGAGATTGAAAACAACAAAAGCCCTACAGCATCCGATGGCCAGGTCGGTCCGACACACAAAGAACAGAAATAAGCGAGCGATGAGAGACAGATGGGAATCGCACTTGAGATGTAATCAGATGGCATCCTCTTTTGTGCGGAGGGAGAATGATAGTTTTCTGCGCCCACTTCGCTGCCATTGCGCTGAATCCTCTCCACCTGGCGAATCCTGTCTCTGCGAATTTCTCGAGCCCCTATTTTTCAATCTCCTCGATTTTCAATCTCCTGAACAAGAACGAGAGCATCGCATCACATCGAACGAAGAGCAAGACCTCCACCTTTTACCATCGCAGCCTCAGAGACACGTGTCAAATTCTCCCCGCCACCTTCTCTACCACATCCACCTCTCTCCTCCCTGCGACCGTGTGGCATGCAAAACAAGCCAACGGCGTTGAAGTTCTCCCCTGTCTACTGCGTACTGCGACGGCAAGTCGACAAACCACGTGCTTAAAAAAATCTCCGCTTCTGTACGAAGTGTTTGGTGTTCTTGACGGGCTCATCCAACTGCAGTAGACAGGCCCAGTTGAAGTTTAAGAGAGTCTAGGACACAGAATCAGACGATTTACAGCTCTACTAGTGAATGTCTATTCAACCCTCTTTAAATTGTGATATAAAACCATCTGATCGCTCTCAACAGGAGTGATACGGTACAAAATGAGTAAACTCGGTGTAGCTGCTTATATATATATATATATATATATATATATATATATTTATATGAGAGCTTTAGAAAGAGGAGATAGATTGGTAAGTCTGAAAATATAGATCAGTTCAGTTACTCTAGGAGTCGAGTTCTTCTGGCGCTTTTCTTAAAGACAAGAAGATCGCGCTTTGATATCGGGTTTTCACATACTTAGAGAGGCATGTAGGTTTTACAACAGTGGATTTTCACTTCATCTCATTCTGTCCTGAATGCTTGCACGTGATTCGATGATGTGTTTTTGTTAATATTTCCAGCTCGTACAAATATTCGAGTCAGATTTGTGCTAGTTCATATGTTATAAGCACATTTGTTCCTCGGGCATTTTATTCTGATCGAGTTATAGATAGATATTTCAACACGCTGGTGGGAGAATAATGGATGTCATATTATACCACAACACATAACTATTTTGGATGTAGGTCAAATTTCTTTTTCTTTGCGTGAGTTTTTTTTAAAATCTTCTTTCACCCTTTTGTAATGAAAAATTGAACTAATAACTAACAATTTTTTAGGAGATAGATCTAAAGTTTTAAAATTGATTAATTAAATTTTTTTGTAAAAATTTAGAATAAAATATATGCAATGTAATGTGTTAAATATTGAAAAAATTATTTATAAAATTTCTGTTCTATTTAAATCTATTACGACGAGTTAACTTCACGAATGATCTGTTATACATTAAAACATTCATAATGTTTCCATAAATTAAAAAAACAGAACCTATAAGATAAAAAATTAATTTTGATAATAATTATACTAAGAAAATTGAAAAATAAACCCGATATAGAGTATTGTGATTATTTATAAAATCAAAATCAATATATATTTAATTTAATTAATTATTATTTTAAAAAAGTTTTTAAATAAATCAAGTCAAGTTTATGGAAGCTAAGTTCTTTTGTTTTCTGGAAATAATTGGAGTTGGATACAAAGCCAGTAATTTTATTTAAAACGTTAATCCATTTGAACGGAATTTTTGAAATTACGTTCAAATTTTGAAAAGATAACGTTTTAGAAAGACCTTTCTTCATTACAAAACGGTTTAATATTTTTTTAATTGTAATTTTTCAAAAACTATAGATAATTTTCTAAACAAATTTATGAAAGTATTTGTAATAAAATATATGTGTGATATTTCTATCTATCCAAATAATGAACAATGAAAATTGAATTCTGAAATAAATCATTTAAAATAATATTTTTTCTCAATATTTGTTTTAAATAATTATAAATTTCTGTCTTTATTTTGATTTAAAGTTTATAGTTGAAATTTTTGGTATATAAAAGAAGTTCCCTACTGCATTAAATTTTTTATCATAAGATTTATTTGACACTTAAATATTTCGAAAATAGAAATTTAAATGGAAAGTATACCGAAACTTAAATTTAAGTTAAAAATTAAAAAAAATATTTTATAATTTATAAATATATAATATAATATATATTATATACATATTTTTCTCGATTATTTAAACTATTCTTTTTCCTTTTACTCAAAAAAATTGTATACTAAAAGCTAAAATTTTTGGTCTAAAAATTTAAATAAAATCTTTATAAATAATTTTATTTTGAATTTTATTAAAAAAATGGAAAATTTTGTTTTGAATTTTTTTCATAAAAAAATCTTAAGAAGATATCTTCAAAATAAATTTAAATATGGTTTAACTTTTATTGTAACTTTTAACTTAATATATTCAATTTTCTTGAATGAATATAAAAAATTAAAATTTTTATACATAAAATAACACAAAATATATAAATTCATAAATAAATATTCGTAATTAATTGATAATTAGATATTAAAATAAAAAATTGGTTATAATAGATTCATGACATTATTTTCAGAATGAAAAAGGATAGTTTATTTTGAAAACTGTTTATATTAAATTAAGTATTTTTAATGCATCAAATATGAATGTTAATATTTAAAAAAATTTAGTATTCAACAAGAAATTTAAATTTTAGTTTCAAGCTATTAGTTTTTATTAAGATGAATCAATTTTTATTCAGAATTTCGAAAAATTAAATCTTTGTAAATTTATTTGTATTTCAATTATTTAAACAGAATTAATTTATTTCCATATAGTTATAAATAAATTTTAAAAAATTTATTGAAAAATGAGAGAGTTTAAATTATAAATGTTAAATGAAAGAAATTCTCATTTTATGAAAGTTATACTGAAATTTCAAATGAAATGTTTGTATCTGTTATTGTATCAATTTTGTAAATTTTTTTTCTAAAATCACATTTTACTAAAAAAGAAAATATGAAATATATTTTTCCCAATTATTTTAACTGTATTCATTATTTAAAAATTTTAGTATTTCGAATAAATTTTCCAAATTAATAAACCTTAACTGAGAAATAATTTTAATATAAATCGATTTAAATTATTTATTTCTTCTTGAATTGTCAAATTCAAAATATTTTTCCTGAAATAAATTAATCAAATTGATTCAGAAATAAATAAGGATACAATAAATATCAATAATTTGATAACAAATATTATTTTTAGAATAAAAGAAATCTTCATTTACTTTAAAATCTTTGGAAATTAAATTGAATTCTTGTAATTTATTAAAAAATACCATTCTTTTATAAAAATAAACTCAGTCAAACACAGTTTTATAATTCTTTTTTTCAAAAACATAATATTGAACATTATTTTAAATTTGATTTATCTTAAAATATTTCTTTATAGAAATTAATGAAAATTTCGAATTTTTTTAGGATAATTAATCTCAAATTTAGTTAACTTATTAAAGATGTATTTATTGCGGAATTTTTTTGGTAACTTTTTCAAGTTAGTTTTCTTAAAATATTTTCTTAAGGGAATGAAAGTTTTAAGTTTTTTTCGTATCAAAAATTTTACTTTTGAAATAGATCAGAAATTTAGAAATAAAATTTTATTGAAAATAATATATATATATATTTAAAAATAAGAAAATTTTTTACTGGTTTTTCTTGATTTTTTTTTATTTTTTCATAAATTGATAATTCGAATTGAAAAATTAATCAGTAAAAATTTCTGAAACAATCAAGAATGATTCATTGACAATAAATAGTAAATATTAGTCAGTATCAAATTATGAATTAAAAATATAGATGAATTATAATATATATATTAAAAAAATTTTGATTAAATGTTTCATTCTATCAAAATTTGTTGTTATAAGATAGTTGTTAATTACCAGAATTAGAATCAACTTGTTATTAAAAAAGTTTTTTTTTAATTTTTATTGTATGTATTACTAGAATCTCATTCATTTATTGACTTATTTGGAATTTCATAAATTTTTAGGAGTTAAATTTCTATGCTTGAATTAAAAACTCTTCTTATTTTTTTTCATGTACTGATTATTTCAATTTAAATTAATAAATATTTTATATCAATATATTAAATTTCAATATGTAATAATAAAAAATTATTATTTAATTAAAAAATAAATATTTTTGGGTTAAAAAGTATTAAAAAACCAAAAAATCATTTAAAATTATGTGTAATGTTGGGTTTATAATCAGGAGCTCTGTCAATATCATCTGATGATTCAAACTTATCATCATTGTTTTGAGTGAGACAAAAAATTTGCAACATAGATGATAAAAGATTCCGAAGTTGCCAGTTTTTTTTGTTCTGCACATTTTTCCAATTCAAATGATCAATAATGCGATATGATAATAAACTTTTTTTATCAATGAACTATAATTCAATTTAAAAATCATAAAAAAATCAACTTATGAAGGAAAACTTTCGTTCAATATATTGAATTAAAATTTGTAGAATTAAAAATTGTTTTTTAAAATTTGTTAAAACAAATTTTTTGGTCTATTCTTCTACAGAAGTTTGTTAGATTTGTTTTTCATTTTTAGAATGGACATGTGATTTTTCTTTTTCCACTATTCATGTAAACCTATTTCCCAATATTACAACATGATGCATACTCAACCTCATTTAATTTTTTTGTATTTTAATTTGAATTATTATTAATAATAGAAAACATTATCAATGAGTTAAAATCAAGTTTGGAATCATAAAAAATCGAGATAACCTCATTGACTAATATAGATTTGAATTCTAATTTCAATTTTGAAAATTCTTTCTGTCCATTCAAGATTTCTATTTTTCTTGAAATAAATTTTTGTTGAACCAAAAATTAATATTTATCTATCTATGAAAATAAATAAATCATTTGTTATATTAATTTATCAAGAATTTGAATTTTATTTTTTGAAATTGAATTTTAATCAGATATTTTCAAAAACTTATAAATGAAATTAAATAATTTAATTAATTTTAAAATTTTTTAAGACATAAATAAAAAATTATATGATTTACAAATTTTGAGAGAAAAATATGTCTGAATGAAGGCTTAACTGAAATTTTTTAAATTTAAAAAAATTATCATTTTTTATAATTTTTTCTTTTAATTTTTTGTATAAAATAAATTTCCGAATTAATTTTAAACGAAAAGAAACCACTTTTTCCAAATTTTTATATTATATTCATTATTTAAAATGATTAAATAATGTAATTAAATAATAGAATACAAATACATTCATTTGAATTTTATTTTACAAGATATTAATATTCTATTCAGTAACTTTTGTTCAATTATTT